TCTTTTTATATATATAAAAAGAAGATATATCAGATATATATATATATATATATAATTCATATATATATAAATGTATCAGAAATGTCATTTCTTTGCATACATAAAGCAGGATGAAAAGTGGAATGCCACTATATATAACCACTCCCTTCCCCCTTGAAGAAAAATAAGAAAGAACAAATCGCTAATGTTTCTGTAGCCTTACCTTCTTTGCCTTTTAAGTCCCTTAAACTGACATGACAGCTATATTTTATTTGGGCTCCATACAATTACATCCCTGCAGTGAGATCACAGGAACTGAGAAGTGGGGCAAACCAAGCACGCGCTCCAACAATAGCACACACTGCTCGATATTCTGTTGTTTAAAAATGCAGTTTCCCTGTTGGTGGATAGAATGCCACCGAATTTGACATTTATTGCAATGCCGTGAACACTGTCCTGTGATCACGAAGGAGATCATCTTGCCCTGCCATCAGGACTATATTTCTGTTAGGAAGAGTCCCACAGAAATAGTTGAAAAGGGGAACATATGTCTGTAAAATATAGCACACGTCACATAACCGAATTTTCAGTCACTGTGTTGTCTTTTAGTTTTATTGCTGGGTAGAAATAAATAACCTGAATTCAACCCCTTACTTGCTTCAGCACCTGAGGAAAAACAAAGCTAAAGATTTATGTAGCATTTTGAACACAAAACTAGTTTTCTTATATTGTAATTATTAAAAAAAGAAAAGAAAAATACTGTGAGGTCTGAGAGTATAGTGCAACTTTGCCAGAGTGAACTCATACATGAGGCAAAATTAATTTTCTTTTAGAAAATGTTATTAAATATGTTCTTGGACTGCTTATTTATTACTTCCAGGTGTGAATTAATAAGTGCATATAGTAAAATTCATGGAAGAACAGCACTGGCTGTTAGTTTTGATGATATTTATTGCCTCTGGCCTGAAGGCAATATACCTTACCAGCTGCTAGAGAGCAACAGTTGTCAGCCCTTCAAGCTAGACCAGACTATAAAACCAATGTCATGTAGGTCAGTACTATTATTGTAAAGCGTTAGTAACAGAATCTTGCAAGTCTGAATGCGCTTTCCCCTTCCCTCCCTTTATCTTCATGTGAACTAAGGAGGGTCTTGTCTGAAACATTTACTCACGTTACATTCTTGGCCCGGGCTCAGGCCCCTTTTATCTGACTGTGGCTTGGTAGTGGCTCTTCCTTCTGTTCCTCAAGGCCATTCCCTCTTCCCTCTACAATAGTAGAAGAGGAGTGTCACCCACATATCCATGCTTGTAACCTTCCTGAATGCATTTGGTTGGCTACTAGTTGACATAGCATGATGGATTCTATGGGCTGTTGGCCTGATCCAGTAAGGCTTTTGCACATTCATATACAGTATAATGCATTCTAGTACATAGAAAGGCTTATGGTAAAGATTTTTAAAACATGGGGAGAAGATACTTCAGCTTTACAGTGGGGCAAAAAAGTATTTAGTCAGCCACCAGTTATGCAAGTTCTCCCACTTAAAAAGATGAGAGAGGCCTGTAATTTTCATCATAGGTATACCTC